TTGTAGCGCCGCCTTTTGCTGCAGTTCCAGCTGCAGTTCCAGCTGCAGTTCCAGCTGCAAGTCTCTTGGGGTTTGTCTCTATCAGTTTTGAACATGGAGACACTGAAATTCTTGTCCATTCTTTCTGCGAAACAGCTGGAGCTCAGTGAGGTTGGATGGAGAGCGTTTGTGAACAGCAGTCTTCAGCTCTTTCCACAGATTCTTGATTGGATTCAGGTCTGGACTTTGACTTGGCCATTCCAACACCTGGATACGTTTATTTGTGAACCATTCCATTGTAGATTTGTCTTTATGTTTTGATCATTGTCTTGTTGGAAGATAAATATCCGTCCCAGTCTCAGGTCTCTTGCAGACTCAAACTGGTTTTCTTCCAGAATGGTCCTGTATTTGGCCCCATCCATCTTCCCATCAATTCTGACCATCTTCCCTGTCCCTGCTGACGAAAAGCAGGCCCAAACCATGATGCTGCCACCACCATGTTTGACAGTGGGGATGGTGTGTTCAGGGTGATGAGCTGTGCTGCTTTTACACCAAACATATCGTTTTGCATTGTGGCCAAACAGTTGGATTTTGGTTTCATGTGACCAGAGCACCTTCTTCCACATGTTTGGTGTCTCCCAGGTGACAAACTTTAAACAACACTTTTTATGGATATCTTTGATAAATGTCTTTCTTCTTGCCACTCTTCCATAAAGGCCAGATTTGTGCAGTGTACAACAGATTGTTGTCCTATGGACAGACTCTCCCACCTCAGCTGTAGATCTCTGCAGTTCATCCAGAGTGATCATGGGCCTCTTGGCTGCATCTCTGATCAGTCTTCTCCTTGTTCCAGATGAAAGTTTAGAGGGACGGCCAGGTCTTGGTAGATTTGCAGTGGTCTGATACTCCTTCCATTTCAATATGATTGCTTGCACAGTGCTCCTTGGGATGTTTAAAGTTTGGGAAATCTTTTTGTATCCAAATCCATCTTTAAACTTCTCCACAACAGTATCTCGGACCTGCCTGGTGTGTTGCTTGGTCTTCATGATGCTCTCTGCGCTTTGAACAGAACCCTGAGACTATCACAGAGCAGGTGCATTTATACGGAGACTTGATTACACACAGGTGGATTCTATTTATCATCATCAGTCATTTGGGACAACGTTGGATCATTCATAGATCCTCACTGAACTTCTGGAGTGAGTTTGCTGCTCTGAAAGTAAAGGGGACGAATAATATTGCACGCCCCACTTTTCAGTTTTTTATTTGTTAAAAAAGTTTGACACATCCAAGAAATTTCATTCCACTTCACGATTGTGTCCCACTTGTTGATTCTTCACAAAAAAATAAAATTTTATATCTTTATGTTTGAAGCCTGAAATGTGGCAAAAGGTTGAAAAATTCAAGGGGGCCCAATTCTTTCACAAGGCACTGTATATATACATATATGTATGTTGGCAAATATTCTGCAGATGGCTTGATGAATTTTCTTCATCAATGAGTCTTCATCAATCACAGCTCACTGGGGTACTGGATCCATCCATCCATCCATCCATCCATCCATCCATCCATCCATCCAGGCTGCCACCCTGTTCATTTATCAATCAATTAGTCTGGCAGTTCATCCATCATCCATCAACTCAGCCAGCCTGAGATCATTCCACTTCTCTTACTGTCCCTCCTTGGTGTCTGATGTAAAACCTACGAAAGACTGAATTATTTTAATTTGGCATTGTATGTCTTAATCAATCAACCTTTATTTATACAGGTAAATCCCATTTAATGAAAGAAGTTTCAAATTAAAAGATGGTTTCACTTTATTACCACGGTTTTACTTCACAATTTGCTTGAAGGAAATGTTTTTGGTTGTTCTTATGCTTTTGCGGCAGTGCATCAGATTGTCTTGATGAAATAACCATGAACAGTTCATTTAATCTTTCTCCAAAGGTTTTGTTTTGAATTTGATTTGAACAGATGTAATCAATTAATGAGGAAGTTCGAGTTATTTCAAGTAAATCTGTCTGTGCTTCATCCTTTAAACACGATGGTCTAAAGTCTTTCTGTCTGTGTGCTCTGCAGATTGAGGGTGTGTTTACGGGTCTGGACCAGCTGTCAGAAACGGACAAACTTGAACAGCTGTTGAAATTAAAGCTACGGTATTTCACTCCCAGGGAGGTAGCCAACCTCATGGGTTTCCCTCCACATTTTAGTAAGTTTAAATGTTCAAGAACATTCATTTAAGGCATCTTTATAAACAACCTGCTTGTGTCAAAATGTTAACAGCCACCTACTGAAGGGGGCCTGCCGGTCACTATTTTAAAGGAAACATAGGAGGATAAATGTTTAACCTCCTAGGACCTGGCGTCCACATATTAAAGAGTCTGGGTTTCAGGAGGTTAAACATCATTTAGAATCCCTGCATTGTGAGCTATTGGTCTTTCTGACACACACACAAAGGGGCAATATTGTGTTGATCCCAAAATGTGTATAGCCAAGGCAGTCCACTGACCTACATGGATGTTATAATATATTTATGGATACAGTAGTGCCTCGTTTATTGCGTTGGTTACGTTCCGGACACCCGGAAGTGACACCAAGTGAAAATCCGCAAAGTAGCGAGGTTATATTTATTTTAGTATTTATATATATTTTAAGGCTTTATAAACCCTTCCCACACTTTTGCAATGTTATTTTAACAACATACGTATATGTACTGTACAGTACTATATGGGAACTCACCATCCTTGGTCCAGTTCTGGTCGGGTTCTGATCTGCATCCGCTGGGTGCAGACGTCACTATGAATAAGGACTGAACTTATTCAGATCGGATCAAAACTTGCCCTCCATTTCAGCAGAAGGCAACTGGGTTTCTGGGTGGGGCACTGTTGGCTTCTGGGAAATGTAGTCATGTAGGCTTATTGAGAGGAAACTACACAATCGCGGTGCCTGTCCAAATATTTTTTTTGTTAACTTTCTATTGTATAGTACCATGTACTGTCCCAATCATGTGATTAATATAAAAGTTGACAATCGTGTGTTGTATACAATTTTTTTTTCTTGTGTACAATGTTACTTTGAAAAACCGCGAAAGAGCAAGTCCACAAAAGTCGCACCGCAAAGTAGCAAGGAACTAGTGTATTCTCAAATCTCCCCCCTGGGATTAATAAAGTGTCTGTCCGTCCGTCTGAATGCAGTTAAAGCCATCTCTGCGTTACGTGGCTGTGAACGCTGCACTATAAATTTGAATAGTCAGTCTTAATCACAGTTCTCATCCCCATGTTTGTGATTACTGGTTATGTAAGTCCATAAATAATCACAAATAAAGGCTACAAAAGAAACAAAGCACTCGTTTAGCTTTAACATGGTCACAAGCTGGTAACCCTCTCTGGTCATTATGCAGAAGTGGAATTGTGAAAGTATTCGTTAAGCTGTAATATTTATCCGCCTGATTCTTTTTATTGTCCTTACAGCTTTTCCTAAGAGCACCTCAACGATTCAGCGGTACAAAGTTTTAGGAAACAGCCTTAATGTTGCTGTGGTGGCCAGGCTCGTCCAGCTGCTGCTCTCTGAACACGCTGGACGTTCTACAGGAGATCCACCTGTTCTGGACCATCCCTTCAGTGGGTGCTGTCTGTCCACCGCCTGTTGACGAGCATGTTCACTCTCCAGATTGTGGGTCAAATCCTCAATATGAATGTTTTTTTGTTGTTGTTGAAAAACATCTATTGTTAAAACATATGTATATCTTTTAATAAACTGCATACTCAGTTGAATCTTATTTGGAGTTTAATATTCACAGTACTTTTTGTGCAGACAACTTGTTTATGTCTATAAATACAACCAGATACGACACAGTCTTTTAGGAACATGTAGGTTTACTGATTTTTCTTTTCTTTTCTCAATTAGTTCAAGTTTTAATTTATTTACAGCTTCGATCACTGATATTTAAACACTAGACTGTTTAAAAAAAGTAAATGTGCTTTTACAAATAAAGCAACCGTCAGGCAGCACTTTTTGAATGGACTTGAAGCTAAATGCTACAAAAGCAACAGATCTCAACAAACAAATAACAGTTCTTTAGACAGAATCATTGCAATCACGGATTTTCAATAGAACTTCAAATACCTTGGAATATCCCAGGAAGTTGGTGTAGTGAACTAAGCCTCAGGTCAAATCTGGCCTTGAGGGCCTTCCTGGGACAAGAACTGTATTTCATTGATTTGAGTCCAGAAACACAAGATTAAGTTCATCCAGAGACTTCCTAAGTGTGTCCTGCACTGATCAATTGAAAGAACACTCTCTTTTTCTATTATCATTACTATCTTACAAATGTCTTGATAATCAAAGTGTGTTAGTTCAAACCATTTTTAAATGTTGAAGTGAACTACTCATTTTAAATCAACTGTGAAACAGTATTAGTGATTTTTAATCCTCATTCAAAGTAGAAATCAAGTTAGAATGTGTTTCGGAGTAATTCATGCATTTTCTGATCTTCTGTCTGAAATGAGCAAGTTGTGACGTCGGTCATAGGTCAAAGACAAGTTGTTGGAACGAACTGTTATGTTTTTAAATCCTCTCAGACGTAAATAGAGAAGCTGGCACCTGTTTTCCCCCAACTCGCCTAAACATTTCTCTCGTCTGTCTCAAAAACATCTTCTGTCCGTTCCAAAACAATTTTTCTGTTTTTCTGACTTCTAGTGACCTCTTACGTCACAAAAACACACCCCTGATTAGCTATTTCAGCCAATCAGGACTTCCCAAATGAACCGGAAATAGAACTCTTTAAATGTCGGCACTTCCTAGTTCAAACCAGTCGAGTGCGGTGGGAGAGCAGTTCAGTTCGGAGAGCAAACCGAACAGAAGAAGTGCTGGAGAGTACAGGAGGTTCAGACATGATCCGCAGTTCTTCCGAGTCTTGTGGGAATTATGCAATCCTCCACATCTGAGTGGAGCCTCTGACGGACTTACTCCTCTTGTGAGTCCACCAGTGGGGTGAACCTGTGTTGGACGGAATACCGTCACTACTTCGGACGATTCACAGCTGTTCCTACGGAGACGCTGAAAGGGTGCGTTAAATGGAACTCCGTACCAGTGGAGACACCTGCTTCAGGTAAAGAGTCGATTTACACCACCTAAGTGTACCGAGGAGGAAGCTGAGATCTTAACGGAGCGTGCCGTTCTGATACCGACACATAACAACCCCTCATCCATCTTCTCTCTCAATTTTAACTCCTTCATCCCCCATCTTTAAACTCTTCTATCTTGCCAGAAATCATCCAGATATTTTCAGAAATGTCTGTGGGTTTAATGCAAGGGAAATCATGGGCGTATGGTTTCCTAAATTGTAAAGCTTGCTAATTAATTATGTTGTTGTTGAAATCAATTTGCAAAATTAATGTAAATGTTTGATGTTAAACTTTGATTCTGTTAATAAATGACCGCATTCGTTTGATGGGTCAAAGAAAATTAACGTCTCACGTTACATTTTAATTTCAATGCACGATATTATTCAGTCCAGAAAAATGAATGAATCCGTTTAGTTTATGGATAATATATCACAGATATATGTTCCTCTACAATGGCAACCTACAAAAAAGTGAGCACATGAGCCTCAACTGATTTATCAGTCAGGTCGTGATGTTTGCTGTTGTAACTGACGCTATGGCTCATGAACACAAGCTGTTTTTTTAGTCTAGTGTCTGCATTTAGTCCTAAAAGTGTCCTCCTGGGAGTGTGCCGAGTCCAGAGACTTTTTTTTTATGGTAAATGGACTTTACTTATATATCACCTTTCTATCTTATCAAGATTCTCAAAGCGCCAGTGTTGTATAAAGTACCTCAAAGTGATACTTCAGTGAAAGTGCACGTATCTTACCATAAAATTACTTTGGTAAAAGTTAAAGTCTCCTTTAAAATTATTACTTAAATAAAAGTCTTAAAGTATTGGACATTTAATGTAGTTAAGTATCAAAAGTAAATTTATCTTATAAAATGTACTTAAAGTAAGAGTATTAAGTAAAAGTAAGTGGTTATAATTTCCAAAACACCATTTATTGGGTGCAATATTCAGTGACAAAAACTTGGAAAGTTTGAACTGAACAATGAAAGATTTGCTCTTTAAAACGTCCGATTCTAATGAAGTATATTCATTCAACCTTTATTAACCTTTATTTATTTATTTCTTCTTCTTTCGGCTGCTCCCTGCTTTAGGGGTCGCCACAGCGAACTAAGTAACACAAAGTCTTGGCAGTTATTTTTATGCCGGATGTCCTTCCTGACACAACCACAGACACCGAGCGGAGCAGAGAGCTTCTATCTAGGACACCCGGAGGGGCAGATGGTGGGGGTTAAGGGCCTTGCTCAAGGGCCCAGCAGGTGTGGGTGCTTCACCTACCCCACTCACATTTTTGATGTTGTCGGTACCGGGGCTTGAACCGGCGATCTTCCGATCACAGGTTCACCTTCTCTAACCTCTGCGCCACCACTCCCCTTGAAGGATTTATGTTTTTGTTTAATTCAAATCTGTAATTGTTAAAGTTTCTATAATTAATAATCCATAATATTGGTGCTTATTGAACATTTATCAATCACAGTCATTTCTTTTAAACTGCG